GCATTTATTAAGTCTGTTTTGGTGAAGCGATCCAAGACCTGGAGACTGGAAAGCACCTTTTTCATTAGGAATGGAGTACATTTTCATTAGGAATGAATTTGTCACTCGCTCTGACAGATGAAAGGGTGAAATCTCACCCATGTTATATACAAGCATCTTATTAGCAGCACAAGTTCTTTTTTCTGGGGGGATGCAGGGGTACGCAAAACATTGTGTGAATCTAAATTTGGCCTCATTGAGGGGCAGTATTTCAATATGAGTAGGAAAATGAGAGTACCCCTAAACATTTTTTAAGAAAAAGCCCCTGAGCTTATTTGCTCTGTTTACATGTCTGTCTGTCTGTCTCCCTCAGTTCCACATTGATACATGTCTATATACAATGATGGTCAAGGAATAGCCAACTTCTGTATTTTGGGGTCCCCAAGATCAAAGGCAGCATGCAATACATTTTCAGCACCTACCCATAAGGGAAGGGCGAGGGGCTTCTGCAGCCCAAGATGTTTTCAAGTGCAACCTTCAGGGACAGATTGTGTGTATAGCAAAGGTGTCAGAAGACTGCCCTGTGAGCCTGTCTTTAACTTTGCCTCTGCACATTCATACAGAGATAGTGCTAACCTACCTTAGCAGAACGTTCGTAGTTTTAAGTCCTTGATGGAGACAGTAGCTGACTCACTGATAGATGGAAGGGAGAGTACTTGGCCCTCAAGCAAGAGGGAGGAATGGGTCACAAATCTTGACTTGCCATGTCATCTGAATGTGGTTTGTTTCTTCAGGCCACAATCCTATGTTTGGGTTTAGTGGTGGGTCATCCCACTTGCGCTGGTGGAGGGGGTGGCTGCAGTGCTTTGGGGGGGGGGAGTGGTAGCATGCATAGCTCTGCTGCTTGTTCCTAGTGGTTCGTGGTTTATGGCTTCCTGTAATGTGCAAATGTGGTCGGTGCATTAAGGCAAGCCATTTGATAACTATGGGCATATGTTTCAGCTCATTTTAATACTGTATTTTTATAGCCCATCCTGGGACCTTATGGTGAAGCACGGTAAAGAAATCTGATTAAATAATACACAACACAATGCACACCTTTTATCTATTACCATATGGAAATGGAAACAAGAAAAATATGATGAGTTTGACACCACCTGCTGACAGCATGCCCCCCCCCAAAAAAAACTACTTGATAAGGGATGTGACCCTTAACTGCCTGTCCCTAATTGAAATGTCTGGGCAATGTTTTGAAGACTGTATAAAAGTCCATATTAACCCCTAGAGAGCAATCCTAACTATGGACAGCTGGTGTAACTTACGCTAGTGTAAGTTACACTGGAATAAATAACCCTTAGGGACACAGGTGACGCTGTGGGTTAAACCACAGAGCCTAGGACTTGCCGATCAGAAGGTCGGGGGTTCGAATCCCCGCGACAGGGTGAGCTCCCATTGCTCGGTCCCTGCTCCTGCCAACCTAGTAGTTCGAAAGCACGTCAAAGTGCAAGTAGATAAATAGGTACCGCTCCGGCGGGAAGGCAAACGGCGTTTCCATGCGCTGCTCTGGTTCGCCAGAAGCGGCTTAGTCATGCTGGCCACATGACCCGGAAACTGTACGCTGGCTCCCTTGGCCAATAAAGCGAGATGAGCATCGCAACCCCAGAGTCGGCCACGACTGGACCTAATGGTCAGGGGTCCCTTTACCTTTACCTTTTAAATTACCCTTATCCAAACTCCATTCAGGAAGAATGTGGAAGAACTTGACTTGTAGCACCCTTATTAAGAGCTATGTCTTGCCAGGTTGCTAGGTAAGGTGACTGAGGAAAGACATTGTCCCTTCCCAGCTCCCGCAACACCCCTGTTTTGGCATTTCTGCAAGTTACACTGGCTGAACCTCAGCAGACTGGTTTCAGAATCAAACCTTCTTCTTGGAGAACTCTGCGAATTGTTGCTCTGATCTGAGGAATAGAGGCCTCCTAATAATTCTCAGTGCATTTAATAAATGTCCCATCAATTTGTTATCTCAGGGTAGGTTTGCAGCATAAAATAACAACATCCAAAAGAGCATAGCAACCAACAGAATAAAATGGCTTAAAGTGTCCACGAAAATTAAACCTCAACACTGAATACTACACCGCATACTACACTGAATACTAAACCTCAACACTGAAAGTTTGTACCGGTATATCTACTGTTCAAGGACACATTCCTTGAGCAGAAGCCTTTGAAGGTACAGAGCAGGGATGGCAATGTGTGTGTGTGTGTGTGTGTGTGTGTGTGTGTGTGTGTGTGTGTGTGTGTGGCTTAGGCAGCAGGCCTGAGACCTAAGCCTGGGTATTGTGTACAGCAAACAAATCTGAGATGGATTTCTCAAGCCAAGCAGAATTTGACTAACGCGACATTCTCACCCACGCAAAAGTTGCGAGGGATTTGACTTCCGAAACTACACCACTCATCTTTAAGCTTACTTCTCATATGTAATAAATTCTTTAATTTGTAGTTTGATTACTGGCGCTACTCATCTTGTCACTTCAGTGCAACATTATCCTGTGCTTCTACAGAATATAAATTAGCGACGTCTCTCCTCCAGACGGAAGTTTGATAAATTTTCTAACTGATATACATGCAGAGCAGAATCCTCCAGGAGTTGCCCAGAAGTGATTTAAATGACAAGATTTTGGACTTTATTATTACCATTAAGTTCCCACCATCCCTGCCAAAAGATAAGTTTTTTTTTATTATTATTTTTTGTCAACTCCTGCACAATCCCAGAGGGCTATAAGTAGTATTGTTTTATAGTGGTTTATTTTACACATATTGCCACTGGATGCAATCGTGTATCTAATATTTGTAGGAAGGAAATAGAGGTTGTGAATAATTTCAGTAGTAGTGCTTCTCCGTGACAGCCATTTGTCTGGCCTTGCGCACTTTTGGATCAAGGCCCCCAGAGCTGTCACTGTACAGCAGGAATGATGCTGTCATCTGTCAGAGTGCCAGGATAATGGACCCTCCTTGAGTTGACAAGTGAATTAGGTGATAACAAGACTCCTAAACTTATTTGTGACAGTTTGGTATACAGTGAGGATGGGAGCCTGTGGGCCTCTAGGCATTAGCGGACTCCAATTCCCATCAGCCCCAGTCAGCATGGCCAATGGGCAGGGGTGCTGGGAAACATAGTCTAGCAACATCTGGAGGATTCTGTGCCTCTGGCACAGAGCAAGTGTGAGAGTGAGAAAAAATCAACAGAGGTTGGGCACGTCTTTCCCTTTCTTTCCTGGTGTTCCTACTTCAGACTAGCAGTTTCAGCGGCAACACTCCCCTGTAAAAATGTTTGCATTTCTAATGAGAAAGCTTTAGGTTTCTGCAATTAAGTTAGATTAAAGCACTCTTTCACCCTACCACAACAAATCCACTTCAAAACGACAACAGGCTTTCTGCTATTGTGAAAGTGATGGTGCAATCCATTGAAAAGTGTAGGATGATCAAATGATGAATGGGAAGATGCAGAAACACCTCATAAGCAAATCAGGATGAATGCTCACCATGACTTTGCTTCACAGCGGCCAACCAGATGCTTTTGGAAAGCCAGTAAGCAGGACCCGAGGACATCAGCACGCTTATGCACTTGCAATTGCCAACAACTGGTACTCCAGGTAGCTATTGATAGTCTTCTTGTTCCTGACTTTGCCTGATCTTCTTTAAAAGCCATCCAAATGGCTTGTGGCAGCGAGTTCCATAGTTTAACTGCGCATTGTGTTAAGTAGTATTTCCTTTTGTCTGCCCTGAATCTTCCAACATCCAGTTAATTGGATGCCCATGAGTTCTAGTATTATGTGAGAGGGAGAGAGAAAAAACACATTTCTCTATCCATTTTCTCTACCCCATGTATAATTGTATACACCTTTGTCATGTTCCTCCTTACTCAATCCATCTTTAAATTTAAAAACTCCAAAAGTTGCAAAGCTTTCCTCATAGGGGAGTTGCGTTGACAACAATATTATCCTATCTACTAATTGCTGTGGGACACGGGTGGCGCTGTGGGTTAAACCACAGAGCCTAGTGCTTGCTGATCAGAAGGTTGACGGTTTGAATCCCCGCGACGGGGTGAGCTCCCGTTGCTCGGTCCCTGCTCCTGCCAACCCAGCAGTTCGAAAGCACGTCAAAGTGCAAGTAGATAAATAGGTACCGCTCTGGCGGGAAGGTAAATGGCTGCTCTGGTTCGCCAGAAGCGGCTTAGTCATGCTGGTCACATGACCCAGAAGCTGTATGCCAGCTCCCTCGGCCAATAAAGCGAGATGAGCGCTGCAACCCCAGTCGGCCACGACTGGACCTAATGGTCAGGGGTCCTTTTACCTTTACCTTTACTAATTGCTGACAGTAGATTTCTTGGCTGTAACTTCCTGTGTGTAGATCACTTATGTCATCAAAATAACACTGCTCGTAGACAAACCAAAGGGCAGGTTTAGGAGAACCCCAAGTGACCAAAGAACAACCCGTTTTGGAAAAAATAAGGGGAAACAAAACTAGCCCAAGGGGGCGTTGATCCCCTAAACCAGTGGATCTTAAAGGGTGAGGCATGGAGAGGATGGTAAGTGTGCCAGGAAGATTCAAAGACAATTGAATAAACGTTTAAACATTTCAGTGTGGTATAGTATAGTATCGTATAAATATAATTTGTTTTTGGATGAACAACCAGAAACAGTATTCACACCTCAGTTCAAGAGCATTGGCTATTCTTCTACAGTTCTACATATTGTGGTGAACAGTGATTTTCAACTCTGACAAACATGAAAGATCAGAAAAGAGTAAGGCTTCTCTGTGCTGATGAGGATGTGAGAGCTTGTTTGTCTCAAATTAGACCTAATCTAAATGAGATTACCCGGCAAAAGCAAGCTCACACCTCTCATTGAGTTTTTATACATACTTAAGGTACATACAGTGAGGGGGGAAAGTATTTGATCCCCTGCTAAATTTGCCTGTTTGCCCTGATGAAGAAATGACCAGATTCCAAAGTAGCCACCATGACCAAGACCAAAGAGCTGTCCAATGATGCCAAGGACAAGACTGTAGACCTGCACAAGGCTGGACTGGGCTACAAGACTATTGCCAAGCAGCTTGGTGAGAAGGTGGCAACAGTTGGTGCAATAATTCACAAATGGAAAAAACACAAAATAACTGCCAACCTCCCTCGGTCTGGGGCTCCATGCTAGATCTCATCTAGTGGAGTTGCAATGATCAGGAGAACGGTGCTGAAGCAGCCCAGAACTACACGGGGGAACTTGTCAATGATCTCAGGGCAGCTGGGACCATAGTCACCATGAAAACAGTTGGTAACACACTACGCTGTGAAGGACTGAGATCTTGCAGAGCCCGCAAGGTCCCCTTGCTTGAGACAGCACATGTACAGGCCCATCTGCAGTTTGCCAATGCACGTCTGAATGACCCAGAGGAGAACTGGGTGAAAGTGTGCCGGTCTACACTCTTGTCCCTGACATCCTTGGGCAGCTCTTTGGTCTTGGTCATGGTGGCTACTTGGGAATCTGCTGGATTGATTGCTTCTGTCCACAGGTGTCTTTTGTACAGGTACTGTAACGAGCTGGGATTACAGGTAAGACCTCTCCCTTACAGCAGCTGCTTCTAATCTCAGCTCGTTACATACAGTGAAGATACCAGGTAGCCTGACACCTGGCTGGTTGATAGGGGTTCAAATACTTATTTCACTCACTATAATGCATATCAATCTCTGATTTTTGTCTTCTGGATTTCTGGAGGTTTACCTGTTGTTATTCTGTCTCTCACAGCTACAGTAAACCTACCATTAAAATTATGGACTGGTCATTTCTTTGTCAGGGCAAACGGGCAAATTTAGCAGGGGATCAAATACTTTCCCCCCCTCACTGTATGTAAGAGGCTTGTTTATAATATATTTTGGGGGTGTTTCATGTTACTATGTAGCTGCACTGTTTTATACTTTCTGGATGTCCCAAGATCACACTACAAAGTAGTTCTGTTGTCTGTTATAAGTCAAGCACTGCTGGGAGTTGTTTCTTTTTGTTTTCCAGTGGATTTATCCAATTAAAAAAACTGGTGTGGCACAATCAAATTTTTATTCTGAAAGTGTGGCCCAGAGAAATAAGTTTGAGAGCCAATGCCTTAAACACAGATTATCTTTTTGAGGGGAAACTGTAGGGTGGGGTGAGGAGACAAGGAATGAAACATAGGGTGTGGGATGGGTTCAGCTCAAAGCAGTGGCGTAGCGTGGGGGGTGCAGGGGGGGCCGGCTGCACTGGGCGCAACATCTGGGGGTTAGGGTTAGGGGGCGCAAATCCACGGGTTAGGGGGCGCAAATCCACGGGTTAGGGGGCGCAAATTACTTGCCTTGCCCCGGGTGCTGACAACCCACGCTACGCCACTGGCTCAAAGGCCATATTAGCTCATAGGCAGTTTGGGGGGACCGTATGACAGTCATGGGTAGAATCAAAGGCGAAAGTGGAAAGGGCAATGGCTCTGACTCTCTTGACTTTTTGAACAGTGGGCTACTTGTCCACCCAAGTCCCAGAAGTAAATTTCATTGAATCCAACAGGGCTTACCCCCATGTAAATTGGGCTAAGATTGCAGCCTGGGTTTTCTCGCTTGCTTGCTATTGCTCCAGTTCAAAGGTTTGGAAAGCTTTGCTTATCTGCTCCTGTCAGTGGGAGTTTTGGTGGGAAATGAATGAAAACTCTTTCAAACCACAGACTGAACACATGGCAGATAAGCAACTGGCAGATATCTCTCCCCCTCACTTTTCAGCAAACATTATTAGGGCAGGTGCGGCAATTACTGGGAATCTTGGAACTACCGCAGGGAGGACTGGCAGGGTGAGAGAGGAGGGGTGTTAAATAGAGTGTCAATCCCAATGTGAAAGAATATTTAGATTATTGCCACATTAGGCTTCTCATAGATTTAAATTAGAATCGGATTAACCTCTGGCTTTGTAAGCACATGGGGTCTGGCAAATTCTACCCTGCAGATCACTTTTCTTCTCCATTCATAGGGGTTTTTTTTAGCTACAACAGGGCATATGTTTAGCTATGGAAGTTAGAGGGAATGACCTAAGTGGTTGGACACCCAGGGAGCTGTTGTACCTAGAACAGAAAAACAGAGGTCTGGCTTGAAAAGAGGCACTGGTCATTCCAGATGGGGAAATCCTCTAAAAAGAGGATTTAGTACTACAGTTTTTCACTACCCATTGCTTTCCAACTTTTAGCAAGCCAAGGCAGATTTTTCTGAATATATTTTGCTCCTCTTATTCCCATCCCCTTAAAGATGTGAAAGAATGAAAGGTGTGCACCCAGAGAAGTCCACCTACCAAGCATTTCCATGAGGCAGTGTTCTACCCAGAACAGAGAGTCATGCAGGGTTGCAGCAGCAATTCTCAGCGTTTGTCTTATACCTGTTTGGAAGATGGATGCTGGATTCATGGGCCAACAGAATCCTTATGTGATGGCTCCGCACATCAGTGTCTTAACAAATAGTGCTATGGATAGAACCCTGCCTCATATTATACTAAAATGAACACTTAAAACCATTAAATATTTTATAATAAGCAATAAATCTTACAAAACACAGATTATCTGTACCTATATCTAGCTTAAATGTAAAGGGACCCCTGACCATTAGGTCCAGTTGTGACCGACTCTGGGGTTGCGGCGCTCATCTCGCTTTATTGGCTGAGGGAGCCGGCGTACAGCTTCCGGGTCATGTGGCCAGCATGACTAAGCCGCTTCTGGTGAACCAGAGCAGCGCACAGAAACGCCGTTTACCTTCCCGCCAGAGTGGTACCTATTTATCTACTTGCACTTAGGGGTGCTTTCGAACTGCTAGCTGGGCAGGAGCAGGGACCGAGCAACGGGAGCTTACTCCGTTGCGGGGATTCGAACCGCCGATCTTCTGGTCACTAAGCCCTAGGCTTTGTGGTTTAGACCACAGCGCCACTGACGTCCCTATATCTAGCTTAGTTTGTTCAAAAGCACTTCCAGTGATGTCCTTTCATAAAGCGCAGTAGACAGCCTTGAACCCATCGCATTTTCCCAGCCTAGACTTCCTTACAGGGTTGTTGTGAAGATAAAATTAAGAGTTCCATGGTGGAAAGACAGGATATACAGTAAATGTATGTCCTGTAAACGTGTGAACCCTGCTACTGCTGTTACAATCTTAAAAACTGCCTCTAAACTTATTTGGAGGAAAGCTTCACTGAGCTCAGAGGAACTTCCTTCCAACTGCACACAACTTGGCAGATATACCTTCCTCAGAAAAATATATTTGCTACTTTTATAAACTTTGTTGAGTCAGTAACTTTCTCCATAGTGCCACGCTCATTCGGGGTGACCTAACTGAAGTCTTATTCAGTTAGAATTTGACTTGTATTTGGGTGTTGGGGCAAGCTGAAGTTCTGAACTTATAAAAAATGTGCATTTTTCTAGCTGTGTAGTTTAAGCGTGGGTGGGGAACATGACAGATGAAAGTTTAACCCCATGGCATCATGCTTCGGTAATAAGGTTGCCCGATTGCAGCCCGGTTCTCTTTCCCCAAAACACCTTCTGCGTGTTTATTCCCCCCTCCCCCTGCATCCAACAGAATTCGAACCCAAGCGTGTCAGAAAAGGACTGCAACCGGGCATCCAAGGAGATCCCATGAATACACACCCCACGTTATCAGGGTATGCATTCCTAAATGCCGCTCCAAATCATTAATACGCATTGCCCCATCGGAAGAAAATCAGCTGGGGTGGTTTCTGCAAATGTCCTGGTGTGCTGGGGCGCCATAAAAGTCAGACTAGACTCCGAGAGACAGGTGATTTGCGTACAAGCCCCTTGAACTCTGCGTGGGCTTGACTTCCCGAGCAAACACAGGTAGCGAGCTGGATGCTTACTAAGGTCTCCGATCTTGCAAAGATGAAGATGACGAAGAAGCGCCCTCCAAACCTGCCAGGGTCAGGTGGGCTGTGAGACGATCGCCCTGCAGCTCTTTACCTCAGCTGTGTGCGCTGCTATTACTTTACTACTGGCAACTCCACGAACTTCCCACCCCTTGTTTTTTCCCTATTTCCAGAGTGGTTTGTGGCTTGGGTTTTGTGTGTGTGCTCCCATTCTGTCAGGCGGGTGTTCTTTTTGAATGAATGACTTAACCGCTCGCGGCCAATAGGCGCTGGGCCCTGCTTAATATTCAGGAGCCCCTTGTCCAATGTCAGGGCGAGGAGGTTGTTTTAAACGGCAGAGCCCCGCAGCCAATCAGGCCGCTCTCGTAGGAAGCCAACGCGAGGCTGAGCCACAGCTACTAGCGCTGAGTCTTAGCGCGTCGTGTGTGCGCCTCGCTCTCTTCCCTTGCATATTGCCTAGGTTAAAGCGAACAATACAGGTAGGTTTCGTGGAGCACTTTGCAACTTTTTTCCGGGGGGAGCGGCTGCTTTGCTAGCCCTTCTTTTTAATTTCCCCTTTTAAGAACAAAACAACGCGCTCCATTTTTAATTGGGGGAGGGAAAAAAATCTTTTGCATTTTTATTTTATTTCATTTCTCTTGTCTCTCAATATCCCGATCAACTTTTATCTCTTGGCTTCCCACCCACCACACCGTTCTTTAACTAGGCGTGGGAAATCAAGACTTGTCCCGAATCCTGGTGTAAATGGAGCTCGGTTTAATTTTTATTTATTTATATTTATTTTTAATGGGGTGGTGATAGCAAAAAGGAATGGGGGACGGAGGGCGACGGCGCACGGCAAGGCTATATATAATGCATTCTCGTCTCTTACTCTGTAAGGGGGGCGGCGGGATAATAAAGATCCACACACAAAGTAGGTGCCGGGGCGGGGGGCACGCGTGGATTTTCCGCTGGTGCATTAACTTCCCCCGCATGGGCTGCGGGGACCTCCCGCTTAACGGGCATGCCAGCCCGGTTCCCCGCTTCTCCTCCTCCACGCGTGTCGTCTCCTGCCCTGGGCTCGCCTTCTTGGGGAAGAGAGGAAAGTTGCCTTAGCCGTGCGCATTGCTGGTGCCTTGCTGTTTATTCTGCATTAATAATGGCTGTCGCTTTAGCAGCTGACAGGGATAAGCTCTGCGCGTCCCGGAGAGAGAAGGGAGAGATGATAACACACATCTCTCTTCTCCCTTCGCCTCTTTATTCCTTTCAACTACAATTTTTTTTTTTGAAAAAATGTATATTTTTGTTCCCTTTCCCTCTCCACCGCGCCTTCCGACCCGTCCCGAACCTTTCGTTTCCTCCCCGTCTCCTTTTCCCCTGTCCGAAAAGGTGCCCCTCGTCCCCCTCCGACCGCCGCTAAGCCCCGGACCGTTTCCCTTTCGCCCCTTGCTACATTGCTTTTTGAGCTGAGCTCTTGTGTGCATTAATATGGCTGGCGTTTCGGTGGCACCGCTGAAGGAAGAAAGACGCGTAAAGGCAACAGAGAGGCGGGGAGGGGGAGCGGCGCTGGGGAAAAAACCCCGTTGGGAGCCCCCAGAGCCCCCAAACCTTTCGCTTCCTTCCCCGGTCCTCCTTCTCTATCCGACCGTGCCCTTAGCGGGCTGTTTCGGGGCCGTTTTGGCTTTTTCCAGCACTTTTATCTCCTTGCGATTCGGCGCGGCTGTGTGCTGAGCCAGGGCTTGTAATGGCTGCATGGCAGTCTTTGTTATACAGGCTATTGCGCTAAGCAGGGACATGGGAGGAGAGGGGGGTGGCTGCTTCAAAGCTGCTTTTCCCCCCCTTCCCGACCCCCGGGCGCCCCCAGACCCCCCTCATAGGAAAGAGCAGAGCTTTTTCTACAAGGCTGGCTTGTTTTGGGGAGCCTTGGTGCTTCGGTTTCCTTTCCTGGGGGGTTCATCCGAGCAGACGGGTGCCGGTGGCTTTGTTAGGGATAGCAGTCTCGCTGCCTTGTAGAGAAGCCATTTTAGCGAATGGAGCTGGCTGGCTATGGGCGAGGGGGGAACTCCATATCCCTGCCTTAGCAAAGCAAAGACTATAGAGATAGCTATAGCAAGGGCAAGAACCCCGCCGCCTGCCCCAGCTCCAGCCGGCTTTGCCCCCTAGGGCTAAAGGCACCCCGTAGGAGAGCCGAAGGGATTATTTGAGGGGTACTTTCTTTCATGAGTAAACATTACACAAAATGGAAGATGAATTATTGGTGTCTTTCGTGACCTGTCGTTTTCTCTCTCCCCCCTTCTCTCTTTTCACCCAGCTTACCGGAGCCACTCCAGCAAATATATAGCAATCCCAGGCATATCCCAGCAGCGTTCGCTAAGGCAATAAAAGGGGCTTTTTTAAATGCAAGTTGTCCCAATGTAGTAAAGCAAAAAAGGAGGACGCGGGGGGGGGGGATTCCCCCCCAATGACCTTGGGGGCGGGGGGAGTAAGGGACAGAATTCATTTATTTTTCTGAAAAAAAGAAAGGAATAAAGAAACGAAATGTGGGTGGGTTTTTTCCCCTCCTTCCTCCGAAACTTTTTCAGATAGTCATGCAGCCTTTTAATAAGGGACTGAAATAGGATTTTTTAAATAAAAAAATCTTTTTTTCGAAGAAAGGAAATTTGAAAAAGGGGGTGTTGAGCTCTTTTTTTTTCCTGGGGAGGAAGAAAATTAATTCCAACTTCTAAAGACAGCGTAGTACAAATAATTATTTTAAATACATTTTTTGAAAAAAAATCACGAACAGTTTTTTCTCTCCTTTTTAACCCCACAAATGGTTGCTTTTTCAGGAAACGAGATGGGAAAGGTGCATTCATATCTAAAAAGTTAGCAACTGCTCTGGAAATTAAATAAACAGCGACCAACCTGACATCAAAAGTACGATGTTGCTTTACCAAGAGAGCCAGTCTTATAACTTGTGCTGTAATAAATAAACTCTTTAAACATATTGTTTTTCGAGATATGGGTTTTAAAATGCTGAAGTGCCTACAGAAGATGCATGACAGCTACTCTGACATGAAATGCATTTTATTTTATTTTTAAGTTCTGAAGCAGTAGCAAGGGAGTTTTCCTACTGGGTGGGCCAGCCAAGGAATGCAAGTCACAACTATGTGTATTAGTTAACCCTTTTAATACTTTGGTATTATGGGCTAGTTCACACATGTGCTTCACATTGGAAGTTGGGAAGCTGCCTTCTGTTGAGTCAAGTCCATCTAGCCCAGTGTTGTCTTCACTGGCTGGCAGCAGCCCTCTAGTTTTTCTGAATGGGGTGCATTCCCAGCCCTACCTGAAGATGCCAGGGATTGAACCTGGGACTTTCTGCATGCAAAACAGATGCTCTGCTATTGAGTTATGGCCCTTGATCATCAAATGTAAGCAAATCAGCTGGAAGTTGATGCTCACTCAGGTGAAAATACCATACAATAACGATGTGTGCAAGCCAGCAGAGGACTTGCATGATGTCCATGTCGACTCAAAAAACACACACAACTTCCCAGTGGACAGAAATGGGCACGTTTTGGCTGAGAACTTTTAAAAGTGGTGCATGCATGCATGCATGAAAGTGCAAATTCGCTTTGGGCAATGCAACTTATGTTTTCTTGCCTGGTATACGCAACATAAATCGCCTGTTGCGGTGGTAGGTGGTGATTTTTCCCAAATGTCTTTCCAGGGAGTAAAGATGGCTAAAGGTGACCCGAAGAAGCCGAAGGGGAAGATGTCTGCTTATGCCTTCTTTGTTCAGACCTGCCGTGAAGAACACAAGAAGAAGAACCCGGAAGTTCCTGTCAACTTCGCAGAGTTCTCCAAGAAGTGCTCAGAGAGGTGGAAGGTACTGTCTGCAAGACCCAAATTCTTATACTTGCAATAAAGACAGCAGCCTAATAAGAGAAGAATGTGTGCTTCCTGCACTTTAAAACACACACACACACACACACACACACACACACTTTCAGCTTTAGGAACAAAAGCAGCCTCCATTAATTCAACTCATTAAGCCCCCACTTTGAGCTTTGTGGCACTTGTCTCAAATAACTGCAGAGAGATTTGCAGCCCAAGTCAAGAGGTCTAAAACCCTGCTTGAGTCATCGCTTTCAGCAATGAGTATTCATTGGGCATTGCCAGAAAACTTTCAAGCATTCTTTATATAATCTTAGAGGCTACAAACTTATAAATGAGAATGGAAGTTCTCAGGAAGCTGAATTCTGCATCCTCTGATTTTAAGGGTGGGAAGGAAACGTGGCCCTATAGGGATACCATGTTGGAGTTAGAGCCCTAAACATCTGATGAGCACCATGTTGGCTACCCATGCTCTGTTTTGTCTGGAATGGCAGCATTTGCACAGGTCTAGCTACGGCTGATCAGTCAAGAAGATGGTCTTAAAATCAACAAACTGTGCGAAAGGAGCAAAAAGAGGGTGCAAGCCACCATATATAGTCTTAATTTGGAGTTTGCCTCCCATGTGTACAAAGCATGCATCAATGAGCTGGTAGTCCTACAAACTTGGGCAGGGGGCACTTGGAAGGTCATTTCTGTGTACACATGGCTGAGGGCATCTCAGCCAGGTTTTTGGAACATAGGAATCTGCAGTGGCACACTAGCCTAGTGACGCCCACTTGGGAAGGCAGCAACTCTGCAGGGTCTCTTTCCCATTCAGTAAATTTGTGCCTGGGACCTTCTGCATGCAAAGCCAATCTTGATATATGAACCTGCCTTTGTTTGTGGCTCTTTTGGGTGGGTGGGTGGGTGGGGGGAAGGCAGATGAGTAACTGCCTGCATTTGCCTTTCAGACCATGTCAAGCAAAGAGAAGGGGAAATTTGATGAGATGGCTAAAGCTGATAAAGTGCGGTATGATAGAGAGATGAAGGATTACGGACCAGCAAAGGGTGGTAAGAAGAAGAAGGACCCCAATGCCCCCAAACGGCCACCGTAAGTAACTTCCCTGCATCAGTATACATACATAAACTTACTCCCAGATTTGTTAGGTAGCAAGATGCAACCTACATTCAAACAAAGTTAAGAAAGAAACAAGTAGATCTGGCAGTAGGAAGCCAAAACAGACCATTGGTCCACCTAGGCCAGTATTGTCTACACTGACTGGCAGTGGCTTCCAGGGTCTTTCCTAACCCTACCTGGAGATGCTGGGGATTGAACCTGAGACCTGAATGCTAAGCATGTGCTCTACCACTGAGCTATCCTCCCATACCCCCCGGGATATCAGACAAGCTACAATAAAGCACCTCTATTTTTTTTTTACAAACCCTCTTCAGAGCTGGCTGCAACTTCTCACTCTGCTGCTTTTGGTGAGAGTTAACCCATTATCAACAACAAACTGTTAGAAAGACTTGAGAGTTTTCAAGATAGTCATGCAACTGCTAATTTAAAGAAACAGCAACAGCAACAAAGTTAATGCTTTTGAAGGCTGCTAATGCCTGATCACTTAAGCTTTAAATCTTGGCACTGAGTAGTTGATTGAGAGTGGCACCATTTGCCACTTACGTGACTATCTTGGAGGTGGGGAAAAGGAGCTTGAAATCTTGACTTCCCTTAGTGACCCTGATCTCCTAATTTTATTATTTAATGGCGCTCCAGAGTGTTCGGTGTGTCATAACATTTAGTGCTTAACAACAGTCCTGTAAGATGAACCAGAAGTTGCGTCTCCATATGACGGGGTGGGTTAGGGATGCGGGTGCTGAGGACTAGTGACTTGCCAAGGCCCATCTAGTGAGGTTTTGTTTTTAAAAAGGTAGAATTTAAACCCAGAAATTCCTAGCTCCTGTCTAGGTTATATCTTCTCTCACTGGTTTCGTTCTAGTCAAAGTGTTAGGGATTTTTGCTACCTCACCCCACAACAAATGCCCCGGGACCTATAATAGTGCGATGCTAAAACAGTGCTTATAAGGAGTAGCGCAGTCTGCTGTGGGTATAAGCCTCAGTCTCGTGAACTCCTCACTCGATTCTCTGCTGTGGGCAGGAAATGGGAAGCTTTTGCTTCCAGTCTTGCAGCAGCCATGTCCAGGGGAGCATTAAAGGCCAGGGCTGAGGCGTGCAACGCTAAACCTCTGTAGTGTTGCGTCAGAACCAAGTAACTGTGGAGAAGAAGCTACTGTTTTTTAGACCAGTTTTTTTGAAGTGTAGGTAAAAGACCCTTGGCCCACCACACCAGCTCTCAACTGTGGTTTGTCTTCTCCCTCCCACCCTCCACAAGGTCTGGATTCTTCCTGTTCTGTTCAGAATTCCGTCCCAAGATCAAATCCACTAATCCTGGCATCTCCATTGGAGACGTGGCAAAGAAATTGGGTGAAATGTGGAACAACCTCAGTGATGGGGAAAAGCAGCCTTACAACAACAAGGCTGCAAAACTGAAGGAGAAGTATGAGAAGGTAAGGCTCAGGTGGCTTCTGTCCAAAGGGACCCTTGTTTGCATTTGCTCCCAAAACAAAACTTTGTCTCATGGCAAACACTTCGAAGCAGACTTCTCCAACCTGGTGCACGCTCCAGGTGTTTCATTGCACTACTAGTTCCCTTCAGCGCTAGCTAGCACAGGTAGGAGGGCGCACTAGTTTGGCGAAGCCTGCTTTAGAGGTGAACTGCGGTGTCCCCAGTTTGGTGGAGTATTTTTCAACTTAACACGGCATTCCAAGCCAGCTCCTTAACTGGGAACGAATTCCAGTGACATCTGCGAATGCAAACTTACCAGGAAAAAGTGCTTACAGGCATCTCTTGGCTCCAAGGCCTTCTAGCACCAGCAATGTATGGTATGTTGGTCTTCATGTCACTGGAGGAAACGTAGGCTTTGACTGGATTGGAATTAGCTCACCCCGTCCTGGAGGCTCAAGGCAGAAACAAATTACTGAAACACTCTCAGTACTGAACATTTTAAAGCTTTCCCAATTTGCCCTGGCTCCTAGAAGCCAGCGTGCTTGTTTGCTTTTTTAAAATAAAGTTGTAAAGCTGCAACTTCTTTTTCCATCTCTTCTCCATCAGCCATCGCAAAGGAACAGTGATGGGCTGTGCTAAAAGGCTTGAAAGCTTCATAATTCTAAGTAAGAGAGTAGGAAAAACCCTGTTGGATCAGGCGTGTAGTGCAATATCCAGAGGTTCAACAAGATTCCTATAGGAAGCCTGCAAACAGGACCTGAGTCTCCACAAGAGATGATATTCCCAAGAGGTGGTACTTTAAAACATTTATTCCCCTCCTTTTCCTCTTCACAAAAGGGAGTTGCTCAGAGCAGCTTACAAATATAAAAGAAAGCATAAGGCACAAGTTATCAAAGCTAAAAATGGCAGCAAACCCTCCACAAATACCAGCATTTGAATCAGTACAATTAAGCATCAACACACAATTCAAAAACTTGGGGAATGTTTTCAGTTGCTAGAAGAATACAAATAAATGAAGAGAGGTAAACATTGCTTCTTGCCGCAAGGAATTCTGCAGATGGGGTGCCACCACATACGAGGCCCATTGCCCAACCTTATTTCAGAAGACAGTGGTCTATGCAAGAAATGTGCAACAGCCAGTTTGTAAAGGAGAGGCAGATGCACAAGAGATCCCTAGGAACAATAACACAATCTTGAATTGCACTTGGTAGTGGACTGGTAGGAAGATGCGTACATACAATTCCACATGCATTCTGTTAGTGAGCAGAGTTCTGATCTGTTTTTTTTAAAAAACCAAAAAACCCCGTAAGGGGCTTTTTTTGGGGGGGGGGGGGGGTCTAAGCTCTAAAAAGTTACATGCATTGGAGGAATGATGCAAGGTTCTTAGGCATATCAGTTAGGTGTAAAATTACTATGGGAGAGGTGTTCTGACTTACGCAAGTCAGCAAAACTCTTAAGGGTAAAGCAGCAGTTAAGATAAGTTTCCAAGGCTATTGTTAAAAGCTTTTGGTTAAATACACACCATTTATATAAAGCACATGGCTTCCCCCCACAGAATCTTGTGAACTGTAGTTTAAAGCTGCTGGGGATTGCAGCTCTGAGGGGCAAGCTACAGTTCCCATGACTCTTAAAAGTGGTGCAAGTGTGTGTTTTTTAGTATCTGGTGACCGTGTGCAGAAGGGACCAAACATGAGTCAGTTGAAAGGGGCTGCGTCACATGTGTACACATACCTTACCTATCAAATCAGGACCACCAAAGCAGATCTCTTAAAGTAAACCAGTTAACACCCAGCACATTGAATTGGGACAGGAAACATACCAGAAACTAAGCTCCCCAGAAAAAAAAAATCTGTTTCTGTGGCTCTTACTCTAAACTCATGTCTTGCAATTTGGAGGTGCCTTGTGGCACCTCTTGTAAGCAAAGAGGCAGCGGGTGTCACTGATCAACTGAGAGTTCTGGAGCATCTTTGCTCTCTTCTTCCTAACAATTAGGGCTGGAGATAATGCAACTTTCCTTAGCTCGTGTAAATCTGTATAGCTGGAACAGGGAACATGTGGCTGTCCAGAGGCTGTTGCAGCCCCTAGCCAGCACACACCATTGTCAGGGCTGATGGGAGTTGTTAGTTGAACATCTTAAAAAAGGGGACCGCTGCTGCTCTTTTTTTTGGAAGGGGGTTTACAGAATTTTGACACCGAATCTTGACTTCTAAAAAGCGCAGAGTGTGACGTTGCTAGCTAGATGCCTAGAGCTCCTTGGGTGAATGGGAGGCAGTCCTCTTCATGCTATGCACACATCTCCAGGTGGAGTGGCATCTTATGGGGGGTGCAAGAGGCTTGGGGCCCCTTGTTCAAGTGGCAACCCACCCACTGTTCTCTGTAGGCAAGCCATTGTTTCTAAACGCAAGTGTTATAGCCGCTAAGGACCACCACCAGCTTCCAGCTAAAGAAGTTGCAATGTTACAAAGTCAATCCTCCGTACTGACGGTTTTGTTGTGTGTGTGTTGTTTTTTTTAAAAAAGATCCAGACCCACCCTGGTCATCTCCCCACCTCTTGCAAGGTGTCCCATGGGTGACTTGTTCAATAGCGCTCTTACCTTCTTCCATGTGAGAGAGGCTATTCTGAGTCACTGTCCCACTTAAAGGGGGTTGGGGTGGGGGACACACCTGCTGATTATGCCAATGCCAGTGAAACTCACCCTCTTGCTGTTGCAGGATGTGGCTGACTACAAGTCTAAAGGCAAGTTTGATGGTGCAAAGAGTGCCGCGGCTAAAGCTGCTGCTGCAGCTCGGAAAAAGGTAGAAGAGGAGGAGGATGACGAAGAAGACGACGAGGAGGAAGACGAGGAGGAGGAGGACGATGAATGAGAAACTGTATAATATTTGTCTCCATGTGAATACCATAGAGTAGGGGAAACACCATTTGGAAAAAGAGAAAACAAAACAAGGCACCTGTTGCTTAAGACGGTGTCTTCATTTGCCCTTTTTATTAGGCTTAAATGACACAATTTGGATTCTGACCACGCCGTACGTAGCTCCTTTGGGGAAGGGAATTTCGAATAAAACGTGCTCTAAGGGGAAAAGAAGGAAGGAAAAAAGCTAAAAAGCAACCAAACCACAGTTTACGTTAAGTGGCCACGGTGCCCTTAGGCACCCTGAAACTGTAACAAAGTTGTACATATTTCCAAACATTTTTGAAACAAAAACGAAACAAAAAAAAGTGGGAGCAAGGCGCTCTTGTGTTCTCCTCAACTCTGTGCACTTTCCTGTTGGTGTAACAAAGCATTTAAAAATGTTTCTCAAGCATCTTATTTTTTAATTTGTAAGGTGGTGTTTTAACTATATGGTTATTGGCTAGAAAATCCTGGGTTATAAAACTGTACATATCTATAGTTTGTAAAAACTAGACAGATTCTTGTGGTTCATGCTTTGAGCAGTGATGCCCTCAGGGTGGGAAGGCATATGACTAACTGAAGGTTGTAATGTTCTTCCACGGAGGGGTCGTGTCTCAAAGCACGCTCTACGAAATTAGATCTATTTACACTACAGTGGGCGTCCATTTAGCTTAAAGTTGTCTTTCTGTATATAGTGAAACTAGCATTCTGCGGCCATTCTTAGTTGTGGAAGGGGAGGGGGGGGACTTCAGCTGGCATGAGAAAATGTATGGAATCTTTTTTTTCTTTCCCTTTTTTTAGTTAAGCGGGGTAGTTTTGAAACGGAAACTGTAGGTCTCTTCGTTGTCAGCTTAAAACGTGAAGAGAGGGCGCAGAAAACAAGTTCAAAAACACTCTGTACTTAAAAAGAGAAACAAATTTGCAAAAACGTTATGTTGGTTTTTTTTGTATGTTTAGAATGCTGAAATGTTTTTGAAGCAAAAATAAACAGTATTACATTTTTAAAACCTCTTGACAATATTCTAAAAATTTTCTGCTTTGAACAAGGTTCCTGCAGCCGCAGCAGCAGCAGCAGCAAAAGGAAACATTAGCAGTTCTGGCAGCATCAACCCAGCCAGTGGATCAGTTTAAAACTTATAGCAGATATTTTCCCCCACTTTCCCAAGGATGAACGTGAAGCACAGTTTCAATACTGGTCTAGGAAAGGTGACTACTTGAGTTAAAGATGCTATGCAAGTTTGAGTCTCTTACTCCTTTGAAAGTAGGAGGCTTGTGATCTTAAATTGTGTGAATTACCACCATTTGGAAAGGTAGGTGACTAAGGGGGAGCAGATGTTTCTTTCTAGCTGTGTTGGGTACCTTTATAGCCCAAATGCTATGCTTTGTAAATATTAAAATGTGCCTTTTTGTCCTGTGTTTAAACTGTTTCAGACTTGTGGTGTTTTCCTGCCTTGTCCCTTGCCCACCAGCAGCCCGGGTATTGGTAGGAAGAATATTAGATGACCATAAGTATTCATCGTTGAATCTTGCAAAGGCAGCCTTGGCCACCTAGGTGCATGGGTTTTCAGCACTTCTGCAAAGAGATAGGTTCAATGCTCTTTGGGTGGGTGTAGGGGAGGAAGGAGGGTGCTATGCTTGGTTGAGGAAGCCAAGTTGAAGGATAATCACTCTAGATCTCAGCAATGTCTAGCGACCTGAAGACCCACACTTGCTGTACAGGATGAAGTTATTGGATGAAGATAATATCACATTGGGTTACAGTGGGTTGGGGACACACTAAGATCCAGGGTAAGCTAGGCGCTTTTGGGTCCTATTGGAATCAGCGGAATTTAAAAAGACAACTTTTGTTGATCTTTGTGGAAGTCAAACACAGCTAACTTGGTCTACACCCCACCCATTGTAATCAGAAAGGTTTGCTGTGCTTGGGTCACACCAAAGTGAATAGGACGAGCTGGTCATGATTCAAATTCAGTTGGTTTTTTTAGGGAGTCCCAAGTGCAACTAAAACTTCTGTGTCAACACTTAGCTACTGTTCTGTTAAATTCGCCCAAGGCTATCCAGTTTGATTTAGGGCTGAGCAACAATTTGAACCCAGCTCTTGATGGCTTGAGTCAAACTACTACTTTATTCTGCTTCTCTAGGTACACAGCTTTTAAAATAAAACCAAGCGAACAGAGAATTCAAAAGAAAAGAAAAAAAGGGAAATTAGTTTTAGAAATGCTTACTGAAATTCATCTCAATAACCTACTTATTAAGAGAGAGTCATTTGTACCACTCTTGGGAGAGTGTTCTGTAATCTGCGATGATGGGGAAGATCCTTTCTATTTTTCTCACTATTTACTCTGCTCTTCACCTGGGTAAAAGAACAGACCAAACAGAACTTCAGCTGAGCACCAAGCGGCTGAAAAGTCAACTTTTGGTGGTAGTTTGAAACTTGAATTTTTATTCCTGGACTCCTCTCTCCGTCCCATGCTAGCTACATGCATGTTGTGGGGTTTTTTTGTGCAGGAGAGCCAGCAGCATATGTACAGCTGGGAGTCCTATGAAACTGACCGCATTTGGGGAATCTGGAATCTGCCAAAGCTGGAAAAATGGTGTGTTTGTGTAGGCTGAATACATGTGCAATTCCTTCATCTTGTGGAAGAATTCCACTGTATTCTCACCACCCAAAATAAACTGGTAAAAACCACGCCATGTTCGTTTGTAGCTGTGGGTAGTTTTAGAGCTCCTACCTAGCATGGTTAAGACTGAGCTGCAAATAAGGAAATCTCCAATTCAATCCCTGTTTTTGGCCATCGGCTTGCTAGAGTGTCTTGCCTTAAGGCAATCTCACTCCCATCTGCTCTATGGGGAACTTCAATATGTGCTTATTTTATGATTGGGGCTGTTTGTTGAATTGAACTCAACAGCCTTCAGGGATACCCCGACATACCCTGATAGGAGCTGCTGTATTTTGGTGCCTTCTGACATGTCAGAAGCCCCAGGTGATCTCATGGGGAACAGTCTTTGATTCCTCTTCCACAGCAGTACTGTAAAAATGCGGTGGAAGATTACAGAATGGGTTCCTCTACCCCCTAGCAGGCTATAACTTCTCCCACTTTTGCGGTGCAGGCTTGGTATGCCTCTAATTTTACAGTTCGGGCAGCAATGTGTTTAGCTGATTGCTAGCATGTTGTTTTTAGTTTGATTGGAAAAAGCTTCGCTGCCCTAGTAATCATCAGTGTGAAAAATACTACCCAAGGGATCATCTAAGAAACATTACTTCTATCCCACATGAAGGACTCTTGGTGTATGTGGACACACCGCTCTGCGTGGGATGGTAATGCCCAGAAGTACACAAGCAGCATCTAAATGCCAGCCCCATGTTTAAAAATAACAAGGCTGCAGCTGTATACTGGGTGGAATAGTGGGATGCGGGTGGTGCTGTGATCTAAACGACTTAGCCTCTTGGGCTTGCCGATCAGAAGGTCAGAGGTTTGAATCCCCACGATGGGGTGAGCTCCCGTTGCTCTGTCCCAGCTCCTCCCAATCTAGCATTTCAAAAGCACGCCAGCGCAAGTAGATAAATAGGTACCGCTGCGGCGGGAAACTAAACGGCGTTTCCATGCCCTCTGGTTTCTGTCATGAGTTTGCATTTCGCCAGAAGCAGTTTAGTCCTGCTGGCCACATGACCCAGAAAGCTGTCTGTCAACAAACACCAGCTCCCTCGGCCTGAAGCGAGATGAGCGCCGCAACCCCATAGTCGCCTTTGACTGGACTTAACCGTCCAGGGATCCTTTACCTTTGCTGGGTGGAATGAAAAAAAATCATGGGGAAAGAAGATGCTATTGAATAGGGATTAGCAAGTGCAGGGTCCCAACCCCTTAGAGAGGAATGAGGTTTGGAAAAATAAGCCCCATGTATGTAGCCAGGTGACTTCAGAGGGTGGGATTTGAGGGATAGGCTTGTCATTCCTGATTGCCTTTTTCCAGCAGAACCAGTTGCTGACCCAAAACAAAAATCTCTTGTGATGGGGGCGGGGGAAATAATAAAAACTAGCGTTTCCCATGAAAAAGCAGTATTCCAAGCAGGATACTTTGTGTTTCAGGAGAACCCAATTCCCCTCCCCTTGCCATGCTTCAGTCTATTTCAGGCTGTGTACGATTATGGGTCATTTCTAAAATATGGAAGAACTACTGATAAGAGGTGTGGATTCTGTAAAAATGCGTGGCTGGTAAGCTTTTGACATGGCTCTAAATTAAGTGTGGGGAATCTTTGGCCCTCTAGGTGTTGCTGAGCTGCAGCCACAGCAAGCATGGCCAATGGCCAGAGGTGATGAGAGAGGTAGTTAAGCAACATCTGGAAGGCCAAAGTTCGCTACATCTAAATGATGGTGCAGCGCATGAGCTGGAATGACTGCAAGCTCTGGGCTCAAAAACTCCTGACTTGAATCATATTTCAATGAGATTCTTGGCTAAGGACTGGGTTGGTTGTCCATACATGGCAATACCCTAGTTTTTGGTTTATTAGCGGTTTATGTGTTGGGAGATCTCTAGAGTGCATTGCACTTGCTACGTGTTCCTCATTGCTTGAAAATCCTCCTCAGGTGCGTTCTTATTTTTAAGTGCTTGCAAACGTTTCTGCCCATCCAGTTACCAGATCTGTTCCTTTTATGGGCTTAGCCAATGTGGAATCCCCCACATATTTGCAGGTTCCAAATTCCATCAGCCCCAGTCAGTATGGCCAAACAGTCAAGGGTGAAGAAAGCCCAGCAACATAGGCAGGGACCAGGTTGAGTGTCTCTGGCTCAACTTCATACCTATGCAAAGACCCTTTATTTTGTATGCTGCTTCATTTAATAATAATAATAATAATAATAATAGAATTGGCAGGCTATCCTCTTTGGAACTAATGGCTGGCACCTGAATGCTGCCAGTTTTGAACTGAATGGAAATATATATATGGCTGGAAAGGACTGTAGAGATGGGGCTACCTTTGTATTGTAAGTGACAGGAGCGGTTTACAAGAGAGCCTTTCACCTACATGATTCTATGGGAAAGACCTCCATAAAGCAAACAAAAAAGCCCTGTTTTATTCCATCTTCCCAACGCTTCCTTACCTGTCAATTTTTGTGTTTTGCGCGATCTTTCACGTGACACCAAAAGCCGCTTCTGGAAATCCAGCGGGATCTGGCAGACATTTAGCACTCATTACTGTGTTAATTGTTTCCGGGGTGGGGGTGGAAATCCCATTGCAACCCTGTTAACTCAGAAAATCGTGGGAGCTTTTTCGTCATCTTCCTTGCAGTTTACACATTGTGCTGTGCAACATCATAAAAAAAAAAAATTAGTGTGATGTGCCAGCATACCGATCAAAAGCCACAGTTGCAAGATGGCTGGGAATTGCCACCTGTAGCAGATCTTCTGTTCTCGGTGGGGCAGCCTGCTTCTCCATGGAGTCATATCAATGCAAGTCTCGGGGCAGTGTGTGTGTTCTCAGTGACTTGTCATCCACACCTCTCTCCAACCAAGGAAAACCCCTGGTTCTTCCTGCAGGGCAAATTCCTGTGCAATTAGAAGCCATTCCCATGCTAATTCTTTGTGGATCAATTCTGGGTCCCGAGTATCTAAAATATTGTCATCTTACGAACTTAACAGTGAACTTGTTGCTCCTTGTTCAGAAAATGACATCATCCATCCACAAGCAGCATCAAGCTTGTGGGGAAGACCCAAGTTTTGCAGGAGAACAAAAATGGCGGGGTGGGGAGCCAGGTTGCTGGGGAGGGAGACGGTAGATGAAAGGGAGTCTGCTGGGAAAGGCCATGGCCGTCTGGAATCATGAGCATATTTTGCTGGAGGTCACACTCATCATTTCCAGTGTACGTATTTCTATTTAGCAACAATTATTTGCCACTTAGAAAAATGAAAGAACTATTAAGTGGCTTACAATACCATTTCTCTCTCTTCCTAATACCAATTAAAAAACAAGTTACATAAAAATCACCAGTAATAAAAATCAAGTCATTAACCGCTTATGTCAACTTCTCTAGAACAAAGAAGCTTTTAGCAGGCACTGATGAAATACACTGAGTTTGTAGGGGGTTCCAAAGTGTAGGCACTGCCACATTAAAATGCCAAATTGATGCGGTGCACTGGTAAAATTTGTGCCAGTTCCACAGATCTTACGGGGTTGGTGAGTACATACCGAGTGAGGCGATCTTCCAATATATATAGATGCTATATAGCAATGATCACTTGAAGAATTCTTTTGTGTGTTCAAAACTTCCCTGCATTATCTTAATAACCTTAAGAAACGGAGTGCATCCTACAATATTTCAAAGCAATATTTCAAAACATTTGTGCTGCTTTCAAACCTAAAAGAGGCAAACTCCACAATTATAAAAACACTTCTCTGTTGAAAGATGCAACACGCAAGCTACCTACTGTTT